CACAAGAGACCTGCAAAAGAATCATCTCTCCCAAATATCACCCAATTCAATAGATTTTTACTGATTTTACTGTATACCATATGTGATACTAAGTGCTAGGGACTCTTCAGGGGACAGGACACTCATCGTCCCTGCCGTCCTGGCCTGTTGGTGGTGACACAGCATTCTGAACAATTCAGAATCTTTTCCCTGGCCTCAGAGTCCTGGTGGGAATAGTGGAACAGAATATTTCAAACTGGGACTTGATGGAAAATTCTACTACGGAGTCCCCATACACAAAGTAGGTGGTTAATAAGTGTCTAAGCATATAGTGTCTGGCAGATTTGGTCCTTAATTAATTTCATATGAAAAAGCCTCAGTTTCTATGAAATGTAAAGGTACACTCATCTTTGAGGTCCCCGTCTCAGTATTGGCAGAGAGAGGCCATACAGCTCCAGAACCAGATGGAGCAGGCAGGCACCTTCGTTCTGCTTTTCCCGTCTTGTGTAGCCTTGGCCATGGCATTTGGTGTCTCCAAACTTCTGTGTATTCAGAGCCCTTTTCCGTTAATAGCAGGACCCAAAAGGGCCAGGTCCTACTGGTTGTGTGCCTCCAACAGCCCGTACTCTTCCCTGCAGATTAAGGGAGGTTTCTAACTGGAGGTCAGAGGCCCCTTAAAGCCTGAATGGTCAGGCTTTATGTTTAGATAGACGTGAAGAGGGAGGTCGGGGTGAAGAGGTGAGGGGAGAGAAGACCTACAAGGAGAGATGGAGAAGTTCAGGGATGGCCCCAGAGCTGGTGGCCAGAGACCCTAGAAATCACCAGGAAGCCATACAGGTCCATACTGAAGAAATCTCAAGCATATATATTCTTTTTTAAAATCATTTTTATTGGGTGCCTGGGTGGCTCAGTGGGTTAAAACCTCTGCCTTCAGCTCAGGTCATGATCCCAGGGTCCTGGGATCGAGTCCCACATCGGGCTCTCTGCTCTGCAGGGAGCCTGCTTCCTCCTCTCTCTCTGCCTGCTTCTCTGCCTACTTGTGATCTCTGTCTGTCAAATAAATAAATAAAATATTTAAAAAAAATAAAATTATTTTTATTAACATATAATGTACTATTTGCCCCAGGAGTATAGGTCTGTGAATCATCAGGCTTAACACATTTCACAGCACTCACTATAGCATATATCCTCCCCAATGTCCATAACACTCCACCCATCAGCAACCCTCAGTTTGTTTTGTGAGATTAAGAGTCTCTTATGGTCTGTCTCCCTCTCGATCTCATCTTGTTTCATTTTTCCCTTCTGTACCCCTCAGCACCCCTGTCCTGCCTCTCAAATTCCTCATATCAGAGAGATCATATGATAATTGTCTTTCTCTGATTTACTTATTTCGCTCAGCATAATACCTTCTAGTTCCATCCATATCATTGCAAATGGCAAGATTTCATTTCTTTTGATGGTTGCATAGTATTCCATTGTATATATATACCACATCTTCTTGATCCATTCATCTGTTGATGGACGTCTAGGTTCTTTCCATAGTTTGGCTTTGTGGACATTGTTGCTATAAACATTCAGGTGCACTTGCCCCTTCGCATCCCTACATTTGTATCTTTATGGTAAATACTCAGTAGTGCAATTGATGGGTCGTAGTATAGCTCTATTTTCAACTTTTTGAGGAACCTCAATGCTGTTTTTCAAAGTGGCTACACCAGCTTGCATTCCCACCAACAGTGTAGGAGGGTTCCCCTTTCTCCACATCCTTGCCAACATCTATCGTGACTTGTTAATTTTAGCTGTTCTGACTGGTGTGAGGTGGTATCTCACTGTGGTTTTGATTTGTATGTCCCTGATGCCGAGCGATGTTGAGCACTTTTTCATGTGTCTGTTGGCCACCTGGATGTCTTCTTTCAAGCATATATATTCTTTTCTAAAAAAAGATTTTGTTTATTTATTTGACACAGAAAGAGAGATCACAAATAGGCAGAGAGGCAGGCAGAGAGAGAGGGGGAAGCAGGCTCCTGGCTGAGCAGAGAGCCCGATGTGTCGCTCGATCCCAGGACCCTGGGATCATGACCTGAGCCGAAGGCAGAGGCATCAACCCACTGAGCCACCCAGGCGCCCCAAAGCATATATATTCTTAAAGTAGATTCTATTGTGGCACCTGGGTGGCTCAGTTGGTTAAGCATCTGCCTTCAGGGTCATGATCTTGGGGTCTTGGGATTGAGCCCCGCATTGGACTTCTTGCTCAGCGAGGAGTCTGCTTCTCCCTCTGCCCCTCATCCCACTCGTGCTCTCTCTGTCTCTCAAACAAATAAATAGAATCTTTTAAAAAAATAAAAGAAAAAAATAGATTCTTTTGGAACCCATCCAGATCAATCACCTTTACTAAAGGTGCAGAACAGGTAGGGTTTGAGAGTGTGGTCTCCAGTTCAAAATACTCCCATTTGACTTCAGCTCTTACCATTAGCAACTGGGTGATCTTGGACAAGGTATTTAGCTACCCAGAGTGTTTTCTCAACTCTAAAATGGAGATAGTAATACCTCAAAAGTTGGATGCAAGAATGAATTCAAGTCATCCCTTCCAAACCTTTAGCATAGTGTCTGTTTTATGATAACTTCTCCAGGCTGTTTTTAGCCTCCTTTGGCTTTCTATTGGATATCACATTTCAGATGACAAAAGTCAAGCTAGTCAGTCTCCTTGCAAGCTGGAATCATCATCCCAGGTTGACTCAGTCTCTTCGAAGCCGTTTCTAGAAAGATTGCACACTCTTTGGGCATCTCCCTCTGCATGGGGTGTAGCAGGCTCTAGCAAACAGATGCCGTGGAGGAGCAGAGCTGGGTTCTGCTAACGTCTCAGTGCTGGAGGCCAGGTCCTTTAAACCGACTTATTCAGTGAACTTGCCTTTTCTGTTTCCTCTTCTCTCAGGAGCCCTTTGGAACCGAAGTCACTCCATTTCTTTGCCTCAATAGCATAATGAGGATTTGGAATTTCCCTTACCCTGGGAAGGGACTCATGTGCCTGGGAAGCCATTTAGGTCTGTTGGAAAATTGCCCATTTCTGAGCCCGTAGGGAGGAAAACAAACTCGCCACCTTCCACTTCTGCTCCTGCGCTGATAACATTGCTCCCTCCCCGCGATATTGCCCAGTATTCATGAGGTGGTTTCAGGATGGCACCTTTTTGTGGCTGAGACTTGTTTGATGACTTGAGGATGGTCCACTATGAGGGATTAGGTCAGCACAGTCTCTTCATAAGGGGGATGAGGACGTGGGTCTCACACCTGCCCATGGGGGTCCGGCAAACCTTGGAATGGCCCATCAGAGGGGCTCTGGCTGGCCTCTGTGGGGGTGCAGGGTGGGGAGAGGTAAATGCTGTCTGTTCCCTTGCTGGCTTCCCTTGCCTTGTCATTGTTGACTTCCAAGGGGCAGGCGGGAGGAGACCAGGTGTTGCGCTGGCAAAGGAGAGAACTCTACTTTGTCCACATGACTGTGATCTGTTTTTAGGCTGATGTAGTGACTTTCCAACTGGAGGAGCTGGGGGCTGTGGGGGGAAAAGCAGAAGACACTGAATTCGAAGGTGGTGCTGGGGTCAGGCCACCTGGGGGCTCCTCTGCCTTTTGGCTATGGCCGTCCTGACCCAGTGAGAGATGCAGGTGTGTGTGCTGCGGTCCCGTGTGGCTCTCCACGGTCGTGGGGCTGTCCTGCCAGCTGCTCCCAGTTGTGTGCATGCCAGTCTGGGAGCCTCTTGGCTCCCTGCGCCACCAGCATCTGTGGCCACGGCTGGCAGCACCCGGGGAGGAGGGAAACGCAGGTGCGGACTGTTGTGTTGTCATGATCTCTGGCTCATTCAGCAACTGCTTCTTGAGCTCAGGCCAGGCACCAGATGCTGCTGCCGGGCAGGTGCGTGTACAAGGAAGACACAGTCCCAGCCCTGGTTCAGCTTGGCCCAGGGTTGGGGAGCAGGTGTAATAGCCAGAATTGCACAGATCTCTACAGAAGAGGGGAAAGGGGTACCAAACTGGGAGATGTGTTTGAGTTCATAGCATCAGAGAGGCCACTCTGAGAGGGCTGGTGGACCTGAGAGGTGAACAGGAGTGGACCAAAGGATGGGGGTGACAGGGCGGACCATGTGCCGCAGGCTCCTTCAATGGGAGTTATTACCGCAAAGGCATTTACAGTTGTCGTTTTAAAGCTAGGCAGTACAGACTGCAGAATCTAAACGGAATCCATTTAGCACATCATTGTATAATTTCTTGTAGTATTGGTGTTTATAGGCTGCCTCTCCAGCTTTGAACTTCATGGCTGGGCTGGGATCTCTTCACTTTGGGGTCCTAGTCCCAGCCCCCAGCCCACTCCATGAGTATCCAATGGGGGCATGTGCCAGGGGTTGCTCTGGGCATCCAGCACATTCCCAGTTCACCTCCACGGTGGCCTTATGATGGGGGGAGAGGACTTTGTCACCCAGTTTCACAGATGGAGTAGCAGGTTTGGACACTGGCGCTGGAACTCCAGCCAGAGTCTGACACTGAGGCTCCTGCTCTTATCTGCCTCTCTCCCTTTTTGTATCTTATTATCCAACAATGTGGGCACCACCACTCTCACTCCAGGAAGAAGCTTCAGGGCTTTTTTTTTTTTTTTTAAATTAAGATTTTATTTATTTATTTGACAGAGAGATAGAGAGCACAAGTAGGCAGAGTGGCAGGCAGAGGGAAAGGGAGAGGAAGAAGCAGGCTCTCCCTGGAGCAGGGAGCCCGATGTGGGATTCCATCCCAGGACGTTGAGATCATGATCTGAGCTGAAGGCAGATGCTTAACCGACTGAGCCACCCAGGCCTTCCTCCTCACCTCCTTCGGGGCTTATTTTAACCTACAGTTTCAGGAACATTTTGTTTGGATTATGGTGTAAGCCCATCTTGAACAAGGCTGCCGGAGAGGTGTTGGCCACGCGGGAGCAGCCCCATGCCGCTTTATCATCCAGCGTTAGGTTTCGTGTGTTTACCGCACGTTTCCTTTGTTCCAAGGTGAAGGAGGCCCCTCACGAGGCGGAGATGGTGTTCACGGCGCGGCGCCCGGTGGTGGCCTTTCAGATGAGCGGGGACTCGTGGCGGGAGCAGAAGGAGAAGCGGGCCGCCGTGATGGTGGGCATTCTCATCGGCGTGTTTGTACTGTGCTGGATCCCCTTCTTCCTGGCGGAGCTCATCAGCCCCCTCTGTGCCTGCAGCCTGCCCCCGATCTGGAAAAGCATATTCTTGTGGCTTGGCTACTCCAACTCCTTCTTTAACCCCCTGATTTACACAGCGTTTAACAAGAACTACAACAACGCCTTCAAGAGCCTCTTCAGCAAGCAGAGATAAACCCAGGGCTCGGGAGGACACGTAGGTAGGGCTGTGGGCAGGGAACTGTATCTCTCCCCGCTCCAGGCATCTGGGAGCCTTGCCCCACAGCAGAGTAGTGATGATGTGAGAGCTGTACCATGGGGCCTGGACGGTAGGAGCAGCGATGCCCACGGCTCTCTGGAAAGACTGCACATGTGTGGCAAGCGTGCCCGTGGGCCCTCTTCCGTGGTGTGTGGCAGACATTGCTAATTGATCGCAGCACCTTTCTCCACGGAGCTGGACTCTGCCTCGGGATCCTTTGCAGACAGCTCTCTAGTTACTGCTAACTGGTTGGAATGGACACAAGAGTCGAAGCTGACTTGCCTTTCCTTTAATACGCTATTTCTCCGAGGGGATCCGTCTGCACCGAGCCCCAGTGGCCCGCTTTGGGGCCCACTAAAACGTGTCTAGTGCAACCCCTATCTACTGAATCAGGCTTTCAGAGAAGTCTGATCATTTATATCATTGAGCTCTTTTTTCGTCAGTGAGAGACAGTGCTGGATGCTTAGATTGTCTTTAGACCAATTAAATTGACCTTCCTGAAGGGGCGGGGGTGGTGAGCCCCAGGCAGGAGTGTGTTTTAAAGCTCCTCAGGGGATTCTACTGTGCAGCCGGCCAGTGTTGAGGACCCCGGCCAGTGTTGGGGTCATTTCTCTGCTTCCCAACAAGGGAGAGCAGCTATGAGAAATGTTCCCAGAACTCTACCATATGGACTTGTATGTGTAATAAAAATACTTTTGAAGCATTGATTTCTAGGCTCAAAATCATTCATATGTATGATTGATCACACACACACACACACACACACACACACACACACCCATATTCACATATGCCATTGAAAGAGGGATGACTGCTGTCTATGACACAACCACCCCAAGCCACCGTAGTGAATCTTGGCCTTCCCGAAAATACCAAATGTGGCCCAGGCATGTAGGGGTCCCAGGGCCTGGATGAGAGGGGATACCTGGACTAAGTCACGCTGGCCACAGTCCCTGTGATTTTGGAGAAGGGCTGATTGCTTACTGATTCGGTTTTTCAATGTACACAAATAGTTCACTTCCCCATCAGCTCACTGGATGTTTGAGGTACGTAGACATTCTTTAAGCTTATACCATAGAGGACCTGTACTTTGGGGTTTATCCACAGTGCCTTTCTCCAGAATCTTTGGGGCCAGATGGGCTTTGGAACTTAGGAGTGTTTTTAAGTGTTAGAAAGGCAATCTGGTGTATATTGCATAAATTAGGTAACACCCCCATCTGGGTTGGGCCAGCAGTCTCTACTCAACAGGTGCAGTAAAATAAATGAATATTTACACTGTGAGAAAAGACTAAGAATAGCTAGCTAGCGTGGAGTCAGATCAGATTTTGTCACTCAATGAGTTAGAAACCACCTCTGTTTACCGAACTTTGTGTTTTTGCCATTGAGGACCCATACAACCTCAAACCATCCACAGTCCCTACTTTGCTCCATGTCAGTCCTGTAGAGGGGAGGGAATCGAAGGCAGTCAGAGGAGAGCATGTGGTCTAACCATTCCTCTGTGGCTAGTATTTGGGACACCACAACAGTGCTCCCTACACCAGCCTTCTTGGAGTCATATTTTGGAATTTTATTCTTTCATTGGAAGATACTTCATGAAAAAGTCATATGAAACATGTCAATGCATTTCACATAAAAATGTAAAGTCATCTGTTCCACTCTTCGTGAAGCATGTTTTCGTGTGATAATGAGGACTTTTAATTTATTATGTTTCCATTTTTCCCTTGATTAGGAAGAATAGAACCATATTTCTGGCCTAACTTTGGAAATCTGTATAGGAACTGGCATCCTATTGATCTGTGTCTAAGGTTTCTAGCCAGTTTATAATTCCAATTCCTACTTATGTTTTCCTTATCTTAGTGTTTTCTGTTCTGTTTGTATTTTAACTATCATAGTCTGTCTATTTCCTACAAGCCACCTCAAATCCTCTGTGAACCAAGACAGGGAAGAAGGGAATGGGTACACTGTTGTGTTTGAAGGGTTAGAGCTCAGCTTGGGGCTATCAGGGATTTTCCCCTATAGGCTGAAATACACGAGGTGGTGTTAGAGATCTTCTTCCCTGTCTCTTCATACTAATTATCAAGCACTCACCATGAGCTGCTGTTGTACTGGGTTTTATATACAAATGCTCATTTAATCCTACTTCTATCCTACAAGGTAGGTATTGTCCTCATTGAACCCCATCCCAAGAGGGTAAGTAGCCTGTCCGTGGTCACAGGAGTACATGGTAGCACTGGTATCTGGACTCAAGTCTGCCTGTCTCCAAGGCTGGGAAAGGACGGGAACTCAACGGATGTCGGCCTGGACTCCATGTTTCAGTGTTTGCCTGCATTTTGCAGCATGAGCCCTGCACCTGGTGTAGTGGGTCTGCTTGCATTGTTCTCATTGGATTCCAGGCAAGATCCTTAGAGGAAGAGTCTAGGTAGAGTTGGCCGGGGGGGCATTTGTGGAATTTTTTGGTTTACTCAATCTACTGGGTAGAATGCTTGATGATTGTGCTCATTTGGCCTGGGCTTTGACTTAATTGTGGATCATGATGGAAGCATCCCAGGCAGAAGGAATTACGTATGTGGAGCCCTTCTGAAAAGGAGGTTGCTTGTTTGCTGACTTGGTGACAACTTCTTGACCCTTTTTTTCAGTTAAGAAGACTTTCCCTGGCTACCATTATAATTACAAAATGCTCAATTTCTTTTTTAAAAAATATTTTATTTGTTTACTTGACAGAGAGACACAGCAAACAGCAAGAGAGGGAACACAAGCAGGGGGAGCACGAGAGCGAGAAGCAGGCTCCCCGCAGAGCAGGGAGCCCGATGTAGGGGTCGATCCCAGGACCCTGGGCTCATGACCTGAGCCGAAGGCAGCTGCTTAATGCTGAGCAACCCAGGCACCCCTACAAAATGCTTAATTTCTGAAACAGACCAGGTGATGACTATGTAAGGCTGCGCTTGTAATTCCTTTTAATGAGAGCATCAGAGTAACAGTCTATTGACAAAGTATCTGACTTATAATGAACATTGCAGGGACTTCTTTAATAAGCATAATGTCTCTCCTCTGCCTCAAATCTCTTTGCTTGCAGCACCTAAGATGGGGGTGGGAGGATGGAATTAGTCTCTTCCTTGTGGAGATTCATTTGCTAAAGTATGTTCAGGTCAGAATCCAATTTCACAAAGTTCCAGGTCTGTAGGATGGATGGGGCTAACCTAATCATATTATTTTATAATGAGTCATGTACAGGGCATAAAGCATGCTCCTTTTCTCCCCTTTAGCCTGGCCTCCATGTTTCTTCCAGCATGTCGGACGGGAGTTTGGATTCGGACCACAATTGCTGTCCAGCAATCCCCACGTGGGTACCATTCCTAGAAGCCTGCTCTTCTGGCCCCTGACCTGGTCTCTCTACACTGACACTGGGCCATACAGAGAAGTGTCTGAGTCTGGGAGGTGTCCAGGAGTTGGCTGGGATCTCACCGACCCAGGCTGGGCTCTCCCGGGTCCAGCTCCAAGCAGCGGTTTGTTTGGGTCTAGGTATGCAAGCCTGACCACCCAAGCACACTTCCAAACCTTTACTCCTAGCAAGTCTGCTAACAACCCACAGACCAACCAAAGACTGAAGTCAAGGGATGGGGAAGCTCATTCCACCCACCAGGATGCCATGACAAAGGTGTCTGTTCCGGGGGAGTGGAGAGTGGCAACAAATAATTCAGTGCTCCATATGTGAAAAAAGCAGAACATGAAAAATCAGAGTGTGGTTTAAAAAGGGTAAGCACAGTCTCTAAGGCTTTTGTTTCTGGTAAATGTTCACCTGGATTATCAGTCATCTCTTATCTGGGCTCCCTGTTGTTGCCCCTGCTTCCCTGGTTTGTGGTCAGCGCAGCTGCCAAGGCATCTGTCTTGAAATCCCCAAACCCTGCAATGATTTCCTGCACAGGTGCCATCCACATTCCTCAAAACTCACCTGCTGGGCCTGCTTCTACTTCAAGGGCTTTACCCTCAGTAGCCCCTCCGCCTGGCATCTCCCCCACATAGGTAACCCTCACCGATGGCTCATTCCCTCACTAATCATGTGTTTGTTTATATTTCCTTAATGCTAAGAACATAGATATCCTAAACAGACAAACAATGGAGAAACTTTTTTCTAGGCTGGATTTGATCACAATTTTTTATTCAAACTTCTGAAACAAAACAGCACACAAGTCTAGAAAATGCACATTTTCTTACCTGAATTAATTTGAAAGCATGTAAACATTATTTTTAAAAAATACAAATATTAGGAGCGCCTGGGTGGTTTAGTTGGTTAGGCGTCTGCCTTTGGCTCAGGTCATGATCTCAGGGTCCTGGGATCGAGTCCCTGCTCAGTGGGGACTCTGTTTCTCCCTCTCCCTCTGCCCCTCTGTGCTCTCTCACTCAAATAAATAAATAAATGAAATCTTAAAAAAAATTAGAAGGTATCAAAATTAAATTCATGCAGAGAAACTACCCATAGTTTTTTAAATCACAGACATCTGGTTTTCTACATGACAAAAATAAAAGCATGTAAAATAATGTGCAGTTTATAGAATTCAAAGAAAGTCAGGGTTGCTAAGAGGTCAAAGAGGCAATAAGGGACAGGAGACATTTTGTAAGGCAGATACACTGGTGACATCTATGGCAAGGCTGGGCAGAACCAGGAGGCACACCACTGGGTATGTATCTCCAGTAGCCAGCAAATTAACTGGCGCTCTGGTGTAGTTTCCAGAATGAAAACCAAGGTAGCTCCCAGTAAAGAATGCAAAGGCAGTCCCTAACTATTCAGTACGAAATTGCAAATCACCACCAACCCAGACACTCCCCGGATCCTTCTCCCTTAATCAGCACGGTGAAGCAACAAGCACTGTAGCTTACATGGTCTTACCTTGCTCGTATGTCTTCCCCGCTAGAGTGTAGTGAAGGCAAATTCTTCTGTCTGCTTTGTTCACAGCTGTATTCCCAGGGCCTGACCCATAACAGAAGCTCAAATATTTGTTGGTTGAATGAAGGAGCTGTCAGGGATTTATTTTTC